AGTGTGCCCATGTGCAGTGCTAGTTTGAATTCTAGTGTGCCCATGTGCAGTGCTAGTTTGAATTCTAGTGTGCACATGTGCAGTGCTAGTTTGAACTCTAGTGTGCACATGTGCCATTTTATTTGCAGCCACAAGAGTTTCTATGGAATCAACTATCACGATCGTCAATCAAACAAAAAGATTTGCAATTATGTATTTACTTTTCGTAGTCTTACCTCTACTCCGTAGTTTAGTAGCAGGCGTGTTTTGTCGCTTTCTTGGTTCACGAGGGGCTGCCTTGGTAATAATAACAACCCCTCTTGTGTTTCAAATTTCAATTTCTTCAAGTCTGTGTTTCGTAGCTTTTTATGAGGTTGCACTCTACAGCTAATTCCGACTGGGTACATTGGGATTTTATTAGTATTGCTGCTGAACTTACTATTGATACACCCATATAATGACTTGGCGGTGGAAAAGCAACCGGGGACGAAGTCCCACGTGGCCGGATTCTTCTTTCCTGGCCGTTGATCTTCGTGATCTACGGTCAGGAATCGAGAATCGTGTAAATGGGACTTGGCCCTCCCTGGATTGGAGTTCTGCAGAATAGAATGGAACTATAACAGGGAAAAAAAAAAAAAAACACTTAAAAAAGGCCTATGAAGACTTAATCCATGTGCATGCTCACTCTTTTATGCTGTGGATCGCTTGGGTGCACCTCTGTGGAAGAGCATGGTTTGCGTCAAGTAGGTGCTCTATGTGACCATCCCCTTCAGTCCTTACCATACTTGCAAGCAGACGGACGAGCGTCCGGTCCGGTCCGCTTTGCCGCGTGCGGCACCCTCCCCCTGGACCAGACGGACCCGGACCGGACCGGACGGGGGCGGTTTTTTTTTTTTTTTTTTTGGGGTGGGGCGTAACTGGTCGTCGGGCGCACAGTCGTGCGCCGCGCAGGTCCGGTCCGGCGGTCTGCCGCACGTGCGGAACCGCCCGGACGGCGTTCGCTTGTAAGTATGGTCCTTACCCAGTTTACATATAACAAGGTTGTTTCGTCGTCTGTCCTGTAAGTGGTTGAGGTGTGGGTTTGGGGCTGGCTTTCGCTCGTCTGTGTGCCACGGTGCCACACTCCACTACTCGACATTTGACTATGAAACTGGACTTCATGTGGCGCGAAAAACATTCGGAGTGATCAACGATTATGAATGTATTGGGACCATTACCAGTTACAGATACGTTTACATGTTGCGCATCAGTACCTACAACAAGGTTGTTTGGTTCTCCTCTATCCTGTAAGTGGTGGATGTGTGGATGTTGGACTGCGCCCCACTACTCGACAGTCTCTACTTTATCAGCCACAGGACCTTCTCCGTGCACGCACTGATTCGAACCGGCGCCCTCAGCCTCAAGAGCTGAGTCTCTTAACAACTCAACGTTTGACTATGAATCTGGACTTCATGTGGTGCAAAAATCATTCGGAGTGATCAATACGTTTACATGTTGCGCAGTGGAGTGAGGCCCATCCCATCCTCTCCATAGTGCGTGTCTGTCCTGCAACTGTCTGAGGTGTCGGTGTTGCCTCGCTGCTCTTTTTTTTTTTTTTTTTCCTGATCCATCCCGTGCCTTTTTTCTTTTTTGTGTAATATGTACCTGGCTATCCACAGGTGGTCTTTCCGAACTGCTGGGTGCGTCATGTCCAGGCATAGAGCTTCCGGTGGAGAGTGGCATGTCATCACCTGAGATGGAGCAGTGGTCTGTTTCTGCACCTGCACGAGATGAGCTTTGTCGTCGGGACCTGAGCAGTATGTTTGCATCTGCAGCTGTTGAGAGCCAGGTGAGTGTATGTCTTTTTTCTTTTTCTTTTTTTTAATAAAGGATTTGTATTATATAGCTGGAAACCGGGTCCAGCGTCCTTTAAAAGATGAACCCAGTTCAACCCACATTGATGCTTGTCTCCATTATGGCTAAGGGAACCTGACCAGGGGATTTGATTACTTCCATGGGTGAGTCCTAAGTAGTGTATGTTCATGATGATGATGATGATGGCATCACAAGATTTGTCTGTACAGACCTGCCTCTTTCCTCATTTCCACCCAACACTTCGTGATCTTCTTCCCTTTTTATTTTTATTTTTTATTTTTTTTTGGGTTACAGCTGCACCCTTATGTCGGAGGGTCTTCGTTCTATTCTTTGGAGCATCGGTCCATAGAATGGAAGAGAGCGACAGTCCGGCAGTGACTGCCCACGCGTGAGAACGAAAAGAAGAGATTCACCAATGACAACTGTTTCGTTGCGCATGCAAATAATCAAATCAATCGGACACAGCATAAAGAGTCGAGCAGAATTCAGATACACCAGTAAAGATCATCACTCGAAAATCCCAAGCCCAACCTATTGCAAACATCGAACCACATCCACACGGCCAATTCCTCAACGTGTTTCGTTCGCCCCGCACGCAGACTCATCAGGAGGATAACTCCAACTCGCATCAATCTACCTTGCCCCCATTTATAGTCATCCGATCCCCGGCCTTTTCCACACGAGGCTACTCGTCCTGCAAATGCCGGTCAGTGCCTGCAAACTATCCATGTTGTCGGCAGGGAACATGCTACACCATCCCAGGTTACAACCCACAGAGAAACCCTCAATCCTCAGCATCCCCATCTCCTTGCGTCCTCTACTGAAGCTAACTCGTGTCGGATACGTCTTCCTTAAGGTACCTTGCAACTGTGCAGCACGCACGATCGTTGTGCCAACTCATCGTCAGTGTCACTGAGTCGTACCACCATCAAGTCCAGGAGTCACTAACACCCGCCATTGGCGACGGGAAGACTCGATCTCAGAATGGCCCATGTGCACGTGTACGACCGAAAGGCAGCAGACGTCTGCCATCGCTTGGCTCCGACTGTGCCGTCACCAGCACAAACGCTCAACCACTTCAGCACGTTCGACCGTGCTGTTCAATGAGGTCGATTCGATCGATGACCTGTAGTTTATACCCGCATTCCCAGTCTGAGTCGCCTATGGCACCCGGCACAGTTGGCATCTTGAGACCGATGAAACCCGCAGTGTACCGGTAGGGTAGCCATCAGGGTACCACGGTCAGGGGGCATACCCGACGTCAGTACATTCATCCACCAACAGATAGTGACCAGATACCTCCAGTATCAGTCACTAAGAACACGCAGCAGCCTGCCGTCAGACTTCTACCAACCCCTCCCCCCCTCTACCCCGACATCCGAGCCACATACATCCATGTTCCCACGCTATGTGTGGCGGCGGACACTCCGAAGTCGGAACTACAAACCCCATCTACCTATCCGAGCCGCAACCATCGTTTTCTAAAACCAAGTACGAAAATGCAAGCTCAGCCCTGAAAAATCATCTAAGTACGAAATTGCTGATTCGCCCCTGAAACCCATCAAAAAACGCACCGAGAAACCCCCCCCCGGTCTTTCAAATCAGCTTTTTAGCGTACAGGGCCATGAAGGCCTGCTTGGCAAGAGCGCCAAGCCCCATTCGAAGTACATCTATCGATCACATCAGGGATCGAGACTCCATCATCGAACAGACCGACCCAAGGTAATTCAGAATAATTGTAGTATATTTTACTCGTCTGCTTCCAGTGGAGTTTGAACTCAGCACCTTGTCTGTATTTCTACTATTTCAACAGTTCAGTCCAGGGGGGGTGTACCAGCTGTGTTAGGCCAGTCGGCTCTTCTTGAGGGGTGTTTCTGACCTGAAAGAACTTCCAATCTAGGTTGGAAAACCCCCTCAAGGTCAGAAACACCCCTCATGGTCAGAGACACCCCTCTCAAGCCTTAAAAAAAAAAAAAGGGCGCCTGAAAGAAATTTCAACCTACGGTAAGTGCGGTCCGGGGGACGCCCAGCCAGGCAGCCGGGCGAATCACCGGTGGGGTCTCCTGCCTGGTCACGTTAGGAAAAAAAAAATTAAGAAGAATGGAATACAGAGATGACGAACCACACTCGGACACACCTACAGGAAAGGGGACCAACGACAGCATAGGAGAATACAGGTTGGACGACCCTTTGACCACGACTCAGCCGGACAAGACAGGTGACTCAGCTGACTCTATGGACACGGGAGGTTCGGGGGTCTCTTAGAGCTATGGTCCTTAATAGGTTGATCTCTACCATACAGGTTGACTCATGGAAGTGCTAAGGAAGGAGGCTAATGAGAAAAGGGTGAAGACAAATTGGAGAATGCAAGGCATCACTGTTCGAATTTGGAACCTCAATGGACTGGGAAATAACATCAACAAAGAAGACAAATTAAATGACATAATCAAGGGACTAAAAGACTTCTCAAACAAGCTAGCTGACATTGTGACGAACCACTTTCTGTAACGCGCGATTTTCTGCGCAATTGCAACGAGGGGTCCTAAGCTGGGAAGATTGGGCCACTTCCGGGAAATCGGGATCGGTGGAAAGTTGCATTAGTACCCTTCCTTCTTCGTCTTTTTCGTCGCTTCTTCGGGGCTGGGTGTGTCCGGGGACGGCCGGTTGGGAGATTGGTCGGATGGATGTCTGGCGCGCCACCACGCGCGCGATTAATAAATGTTGACGTCGCTTCTTTCGTTTTGGGTTCGATCTTTTGGGCGCGAACATTGCGCGGGAAATTGCTTCGTTCTTTTGAATTTTCTTTTGAATCTTTTTTGAATTTTGTCGAGCCCCGATGGCTCTCAGAATTTTAGACCTTCTTTCTGAAATGAATGCTTTTTGCTTTTCCGCATTAGATAGGAATTTAGGAATTCAGTAATTAGGACTTTTTCTGTCGCGCTGCGCCTTTTGTCTACGCGCTTTTTCATGCGGCTGCAACGGTACGCTGATTAGTGGGCGCCCTTAATCGTGTGTGTAACTGCAATTTTGGGCGGGCGCCATTGTAACTGTATCTCTCTTCTTACACTTCGTCTCTCCCGCCCTCCCCTCTCCTTCTTTTGCTGAGATTTTGTAAGCCGCGGSTTGCATGCTCGGATCGATGYGTGGAGAAGGGTTACGTCCCCYACGCCGHGCCCGATCAYGCAGAACGYMGGCRCTCCCTCTCTAATCTTCACTCTAARTCTTGRAAGTTCCATGTTCTTCGCGCATGCATGCACGCTATAAATTTCGGCTGCGCGATTAGTCAKCTCTCTGAACCCGTTGTTGRAAGCTCGGGGTTGYGCGATCAGGAAGGGTCGGCACACGAGCAAAGTAAGAGGTGAGTAGAGTAGGAGTTGGGCGATCCGACGGGCTGGTGCCGAACGCGCGGGATTGACGTGGGCCACGACGGACTGTGGGCACGGGCGAATCCGACGGGTGCGGGAGGACTAAGCGGGGTGACAACTTCGTGGGTTGGTGCATGGCGACGGACTGTCCGCATCGGAGAGAGAGGAAGAGAGAGTTGAGGTCGATAGACGTGGATTTGTTGTTTCTTTGTCTCTTCCCCCTCTTCATCTGTGTACATACATTTTGATTGCGGCTCCGGGTAGTTTGCCCGTTCTTATTTTCGTTTCGGCTTTCTGGGATTTGGGCTTGGGTTTTTTCTCACATTGTCTTTGCTATGTCCGACCTGATTGCATTATACATTTGATTATCGAATGTATGGATGTATGAATGGGCAGATGTGTGGACGTTATGCCTGTCTGTATATCTTTTTGTCGAGGATCCCTGTCCTTGCCTTTCGTTTGTGTCGAATCTTTGCCCACACCTGATGCAGTTGCAGATGGGATATGAATATGGTCTTGATAGCGATTTTGTCCTCGATTTTGCTTATCTCGCGATGAGGGGTGTGATATGGTTGCATCTTGCATAATCCGAAACAATTAAACCGCGAACGCCGCGCGAGAACACGTGTAAACACGATCCGAGTCGCGCCCTTACACGCATTCCTGTGCGACGGCTCGCTCCCCTAGAAAGGAGTCACGGCGGAACCATCATCCCGTACGGGCACGCTGAGGCGTCACTCAGTCGGCCTGCCCCACACGTCATCGTACGCGGTGACGGAAACCCGGCCCGCGCTATCCCACCGACAATGGCACCATGACGCGATCTTGGAACTCAGACTCGTCCTACGACCCGGACTATTTCACCCCTATAATAAACGAGTTCATAAGGACACGATACCCCTGTCACACGGAGAATCGATTATGTCTGCGGGAATTCCACTGTGCTACCACTAGCGACCCTCGGTGCTTCGATTTCCCTTCCCCCGACCACACCTACTACTTCACCCACCCAGGATTCGTTGAGATCACCACCAGTTTCCCTCCCTTTCGCCTTCTTCTCCCGTATCATCAACTCAGTGTCGTTCCATGACCGGGCCATAGCCCCCTATTGGCCTAATACGTTTTGCGTGAACTGCCGACGCAACGGCGCGCAGAACACTACGAAATTTCGGAGGCCCAATTCAGGTACGCGGCATCCTGCGCCGCGTGGCGGCCCCCGACGACTTAACTTTTCAGGACCACCTCCGCCACGAAGGAATTTTCCCGCAACCCGTCGCCCACAGCGCCCCGGCCCCAGCGGACCATGAGTCCCTTGCGCGCGCTCGCCTAATTGCATTCATACCCTTGAGACTCCCCCACTTTCCCCAAAAATCCTTGGCACACCCCTTTTAGCACTTCCAGGCCCACACTCCACTCTGATCAGGAAGTCGCGCTGGGCGTGAGGTTGGGCGTCACAACATCATCATGTTACATGAGACACACCTGACCAACTTTGAGGAACACTTAAAGTTAAGGAACTTCTTCACAAGGAAAATAGGTGGGGTCAAAGATGAAATATGGGCAGCAGACAGTAGCTCCAATACCAAAGGCACAGGCATTCTGATACCGA